ACCCACACATATACGGTCAATTCACTTTACAGTGTGTTCTGTGAAGTGCTTTGAGACATCGAGAAGACGTGAAAAGCGCTATATCAAATGCAAGGATTATTATTATTATATTATTATAAGTATGGGGAAGTGGCTGCAGGGAGGGAGGGAATTAGCCAACACTGACCTGTTGATGAGCATCTTGGAGATGGAGACAGTTGACTTGCCAAAACACAAGGATCTGGATTAGGCAGTGGGTGCACAGTAAACCTGGCACTCTGCATTAGACTTAGATCTCTAGACCAATATGACTGGAACATCACAAGCTGTCTTATAAAGACATATTTCCTTTGAACTTGGACTTCCATCAATTTGTATTAGAGTACAAATGTAGAGCAATTATGCTAAGTTTGTATAAATCATTGGTCAGGCCAGAAATTGAGTATTGCATCCAGTTCTGGGCACCTCACTTCAGGAAAGACATTAAGGCCTTGGAAGGACTGCAGAAGTTTACAAGAATGATTCTGGGGATGAAAGGCTACAGTTACAATAGCCGATTGGAGAACTGAGAAGACTGTTTGCATTGGAGCAGAGAAAGAGCAGAGGGGGACATGACTGAGGTGTTCAAGATTATGAAGGATTTTAGGGTAAACAGGGAGAAGTTGATGAAGTGTTGATTCTTTTAGGAAATAACATTATGGGATATAGTACATAGGTAGTTTGGGACATATGCGACTGCCAGGAAAGTGGAAGGCGAACTAGATGGACCTTGGTTTTTTTTCATCTAGCATTTCTTATGTTCTTAAGTTATTTCCATTACTCAGTAACTAAGTACACATAGGTTAAAGAATAGCAGAAGAATAGGAGGAATTGTTTAACCCAGAGAAGAGGTGGGATGAAGAATACCCTGCCATGTAGGAGGCAAAGTCCATTGTAGCTTTTAAGAAGGAAGAAAACAGGCATCTTAAAAAAAAACGGCTTGAAGCGGGATAAGGCGGGGTGCTGTTATTATTGTTATTTGACATATATCCTATGAAGTGTTTTGAAACATCCTACCAATGTGAAAAGTGCTATGTCAAATGTGAGGATTATAATTAGTAACTCCCTAACTCACTTTGAAGACGGATCCTGTCCCACAACTTGCCAATTATCAGAACAGGTTTTCTCTCTTCAGATGGAACCAACCTCAAAGTGATTTCCCCAACCGGAAAATGAAAGATAGACATCAACTTGTTTCTTTTGTAAAAGATTGCAAAAGATTTTAAAAACAATTTTTATAAATAATAATTTGGTCATTCAATCCATGACTGTTTGTGGGACACTGCTGTGCGCAACTGGCTGCTGCATTTTGCCACAAAATATACAGTCAATTAATTTTACAGTATATCCTGTGAAGCGCTTTGAGACATTTCGAAAACATGATAAGGCGCTATATTAAATTCAAGGATTATTATTATTATAATATTATTTACTTTCTCAATCCCAGTGAGCACATTATGCAGCACGATAAGACCCCCCCACCCCACTACCATCAAAAAAGCCACAAAATACAGTATACAGTGACCGACCTAACCGAGAGAAAGCCATGAACAGAATAACTCCTTTTACCAAAGTGTGTGGTTCTGTTTAAACATTCAACAAAGTATTTCCACCTCTAAAGATTTGTTATAGGTCATGTTGTTGCCCTGGACTGTTACTGTGCTGAAGCCAAGAATTAAAGCTCATCCATTCACCCAAACCCAGCTCCCATGATGTAGTACCAGCCACGTGACTCTTGTGTTAACATTATCGACGAGCATTGGGGGGGTGGGGAGGTACTTAGTAGAATTACATCAAACAAGCTCACAGCCGGAGAGCAGCCTGAAGGTAATGGTTTTGGTTGTAAAGTTGTTAGGAATCACTGGCTTTAATATTTTGGGTGTTTATGTAACTGTTCTGGAATGCGCTGAAAGAGAGGTGGAAGCAGATTCAATATTAGCTTTCAAAAGGGAATCGAATATATGCTTAAAAAGCAAAAACTTGCAGGGCTGTGGGGTAAGAGCAGGGGAGCAGTACCAGTTGGTAGCTCTTTCAAAGCAGGGTGAATTTTTTGCTAATGACGTGGGGGAGGCGAGGGTGTGTCAGTGCTCGGACAGGTCGAGTAGCATCTGTGGAGAAAGGAAAGTGAGTCAACGTTTCGGGTCCACAACCCTTCTTTGAGTTCTGACGAAGGGTTGTTGACCCGAAACGTTGACACACTTTCCTTTCTCCACACTAACTGCCTGACCTGTTGAGTGTTCCCAGCGACTTCTGTTTTTGCTTCAGATTTCTAGTATTTGCAGTATTTTGCGTTTCGTTTACCATTTCAAGTATGCAGTGTCAGCTTGAAGGGCTCCCAACTCAAGTACGAGTGTTAGAGGCACAGGTGACAATTTTCCACTTCCTACACCAACCATCAATCCACAAACCATCAACCTACAAATCCATCTATTTTGGCTCCTCCTTATGGCTACTTTCTCCGATCCTACTCTTGCTCTCGCACCCCCCTTCCCCTTGCCCCCCAATCCCCTCAGCCTCCCCTTCACTCGCCCACCTGTACCCCTCACCCCGCTCCCTCCCCTCCCCCTCCCTTTGCGCCCCACTCCCCTCACCCCCTCACTCCCCTCACTCCATTAGATTTAGCAACTGGATTAACTTGACTCCAGGTTTATTTCACACAAGCTCCTTGCAGCAAACAGGCAGAGCTCAAGATTTTCTTCCTCTCAGTCCAGCCCGGACTTGAACCAAGCTCTCAAGAGACAAATGGTCAGAGGTAGGAATTCAGTGCTTAAACCACTGCATCTCTTTGTTCTCCACATCTGCTTTCCTTGTGTCCAATTCTAGCTGCCATTGTGAAGGCAAAACCTTTCCTCTCGTTCCTGGTACCTGCTGTCCATCTAGTGAGGGTTCAAACCCTCCCTTCTCTCATGTCAAATAAGCAACTGAGAGGGGTAAAGCTAAACGGGGTCGCCTTGAAACTGAACGGGATCTGAGGTGACATGTTTGGCAGTGGAATGTCGTAATCGAGCCAACAACAACAACAACAACATGCATTTATATCGCTCCCTTCACACGGGGCAGTATCCTGGAGCGCTTGAAACTGGTATTAGACCATTGTGAGATGGGTTAGTTTTACCCTATTGATGATGTGTTGTTGCAATAGTAATCCTGCTTTTGCTTTATAGATTAACTTTTCCTGTATCATTAGCACATCATTCGGGGGGGGGGGCTTTGGCTATGCAGCATCCAGCACAAGATGTGAAGCAGCCAATCAATGGGCTTTCTCTCTCTTGATCTGAATTCAGTTTCTTCTCAACGTTGAGGTCATTGCATTTTCAATAGCAGCTTCCCCCCCCCCCAATGAACAGACAGAAAGTAGAAGGGACATAGGTTTAATAATGTTTAATGACTGGTTTAATTTTGTTAAAATGCCTGACATCAGCATTACCGGTTCAGTACAATGGGGATAATTCAACAGGAATTTACAAAGACCTGCTGGATTAGAACTGTCTGCTCACTATCTCTCGGGTGGCCTTGTTGCTGACTCTGGTTCTCTCACTAATAGCTGAGCTTGTCTGGAAACTGTCGTGCATGGTGCTAAGTAGGTGCTTGGTTGCACTTTATTGTGCAAATTGTGGAAACAATTAGGTAATGAACCGAGAAGACTGGGTTACATTCACTGGAAGAGCTGAAGTAATTAATCTCCAGAGGAGACGATTAGGATTATTTTGGGGAGAGAGTTACACTATTACTCAAACCCCAGGGATGAGCACAGAAGGCTTCAGTCTACACTGAGAACTTAGCGGTTGGGTGACACCTACCTGGATATTGGAATCCACCTGGCAATGCAACGAGAGGTCAAAACTGGACAGAGTCAGGACAGTACCTTGAGAAACACTAAAATAACAGGACAGGAGGTTGCAGTTTAAGCGCAATTTCAAGGCAGACACCAAGAGGAAGCTGAAACACGTTACCAGGAATGGTGCAGGATGCTTACACAATAAAGCTGGTTGGATTGGCGTTACGGAGGGTAGACAAGGCTTGCTTCATTTAAACTTCTCTTGTGCGCACAGCTCAAAATACACAAAAAAGAGGAATGATGACAGGGAAACTCCACAGCAGCACAGATAGCTGAGGTCAGTGTTTATTATATTTATATTCAGTCACCTTCACTGCTCGGACTGTCAATTAAGACGACTCTGATAAATACTGCTACGCGTTAAGATTTTGTTTTACACACAGTAATAATAACAAATGTTGGTTCAGAATAATACAGCAGAACTCATGGCTTCAGAACCCAAGCCAAAAGTCTGGCTAACCATTGTTATTGGCAACACAGGTACATGGAGGATCCTTGATTTCGATTATCTATAGAAACCGGTTTGGTTTTCAACTCCTCTTTGAGACTGTACGTAGTATTACACAAGAGAGATGGGCATGATGACAGGAGTTTCAGCGAGATTAATAAAACAAGGTAACTTTACAACGCTGCATTCAATCACATAACTGATTAACATCCTGTCTTATTCAACCTTTTTTTTAAAATCAAGATAAGATTCCATGTAAACCCTTAGAGGACAATGAAATGGCAGAAATTGCAGATTATTCAAGTGAGATTCTGTGGTTGGAGAAAGAGACTTAAAAATTGGGAAGGTATTCAAAAGTGCTCCCCCTCCCCCCCAACACATGACTAGTCCCCAGGGGATTGCCACGTGGATTTCCTTTGTTCGATGTTTCTGACAGATATTAAGGCTGCAGCACTTTCAGTAGAAGAAGCAGATTCCATTCATTCCTCCAGGCTGGGTTGTGCAGGGCTAAGCAGATGGCTTGGGTCATTGCTGCTGTAAGGTCTGGTCTGATGGCAAATAACCCAAGGTCCTATCAGTATGATGGAGGTTGTTCAACAGTCCTAAGGATCTGAGATTGGGGATCGGGATTGGGCAGAGATATTTCAAGAACACTTTCTTGAAACACACAGAGCAGAAATGGATCAAATAAAGTTTAGGTCAAAAAATGGGACCTTTATTTTAAACTTAACTGATTGTTGCAGTACGGGTCAGTGACTGGCTGAAAGCGAGGCAGGGGCAAAATGCTGAGTGGGAGAGATATAGTATCCACTTCCGACAATGGTTCATTTCAAGGTGTCCACAGCAGTAACAACCTGATGGAAGACTTCATCCACACTGCCTTCAGCGTTGATCTGTTGATTGGGAATAAAGAACAAAAATAGACAGGAGGAAATCACTGCCCTATCATTCGCTTTATCTCCTGTTAATATTATGTGTCTTCCTGAATATAATAATAATCTGACATAGCGCGTTATCACATCTTTGAGATGTCTCAAAGCGCTTCACAGAATATACTGTAAAATGAATTGGCTGTATATTTTGTGGGTGAAACGCGGCAACCAATTGAGCACAGCAGTGCTTGCCCAAGGTTTCGCCCTGCCTGGAATTGAACCCAGGTGTCTCGCTTACAAGGCGAGTGCTCTAACCACTAAGCTGCAGGACTCCACAGATCAGTCAGTGCAGTTCGGAGGAGTATTCAACCACGGTGGGGACATGTGTTTTATTTTGGTCAGCCACATGTGGAAACCCATAACCATGCTCCAGAAAATCCAAACCAAACAAACAGAGCTCCATGCCTCACAGCTACACATAGGAAACCCCATGTACTGGAATGGAAGGCTCACTCTCTCCCTGGAGGGGTGCACCATGTTTACCCAATTCCGTGAAACCTGTCGTCACTGCTCCTCACAGTAAATCCTGTGAATCATTTGTAAGTCTCGCCCAGATGTGCAATATGTTATGTCAGATAGAAGGATTATGGTTGCAATAACATTGGGAATCTGTAACTAGACTGCCCTAGATTTCTAACCTAGACCATCCGCTCAAGGCTGGAAGTGGGGATTTAAATCCCAACCTTCTGACACAGAGGTGAGAGTGCTGCTAACTGGGCTGGGCTGACGCTCATAATGAACCAGGCTGACACATACACACTGAGCCAGGTTGACATACACATATTAAGCCAGGCTGACACGCACACACTGAACCAGGCTGATCCACGCTCACTGAGCCGGGCCCACCCACCCACACACACTGAGCGGGACTAACACACGCACACCCTGAGCCTATCTGACACACACATTGAGCCGACACATCTAACTCAGGATTTAGGATTTGGGGTTCAGCAAAAGCAAGAGTTTATCATACGGAAACATTGGAAGAGATGCTGAGCGATGGGGGAGGGAAAAAAAGCAGTCAATCAGGGGTCCTCTTCTAGCTCATAACTCCTGACTGTAACATACCTGTGGTATTGGGCAAGGATTAAAATTGGATTTGTTTGGGATAATTGGTATAGATTATGCTCACACTGCTCAGATTACATCCTCCTCCCTCTTGATTACTAGGACATGTGAGCTCGTATGATATCATGATGATCACCCTCACCATTCAGAATTAAGCGATGTGCCTGACAATAGAATGTCGGAATCTGTGGCGTTCTTGGTAGTCCGATTTGTGAGCCAGGCGGGTCCACAGTATTCTAGCGCACTGCTGATGACAGCACAGCCAGCCTGGCTCATCGGCAAGATCTGGAAGAGCTGACCAGTCACTGGGAGCATGGATTCATCCCACTCAGCTCCTGTTAACCCTGCAAGCTAAAGCCCTAATGGGTAGAGTGGTTCTAGCTGGACAAGCAACAGGAAAGCTTGCCGTACAGCAATATCAATGGCAAGTCCCAATCTACACCCCTTTCTCCCCAAACATTTTCTTTCTTTTTCAAGTGAATATCAAATTGCCTTTTGAATTGACTTGATTTGATTGAAGGCTTCAACCTTAAAGTAAGACGTGCCATATCCCATCGAGCCTTTGTGTATAAATAAACCCAGATTCAATTCAAAAGTTTGGTTTGGACCGGGTTCCCCATCAGCCTGGAGGTGGACAGGCTTCAGGAATTGCCAGAGAAATATTCATCAACGAGACCTTCTTTCCCAGTTACTGCCTCAGCACATTGATGGAAGACTCACCTTTCTGACAATACCTTTCTTTTCATAAAATGCGATGACGGGCTCTGTGGCTTTGTAATAAGTGTCCAGACGTTTTTTAATCGTTTCCTCGTTGTCATCAACACGCCCACTACTTTCTCCACGTTTCATCAGACGTTTCTTCATCGTCTCGGCTCCAGCGTCAATGTATAACAGCAGCGTAGGTGGCGCAATCTATTGAGATAAGAAGCAAACGGTAAGCCAGGCAGGCATTGTAAAGATATTCAGTAAAGCTCAGAGCACAATCTCAGCTCTTGTTTTCCTCATCTCTTACTCCATCAAATACTAATCATCCTTTGGTGCACTTTGCCTCCCTCAAGGTTATGATGATAATAATGATTAACCTTGCATTTGATATAGCGCCTTATCACGTCTTCGAGACATCTCAAAGCGCTTGTAGATAATGGAATTGTTTTCATTTGGGGCTTCTATTTTCAGTATTAAGCAATATTGGATGTAGCAAATATAAGTTACATTTCTATAGCATTTTTCAGGTCAGGAGGACAGACACAAGAGTGCAACTCTACACATTGTCTGTCCACACTCCCAGGTCAGGGACAAAGGATTAAAATCTATCACCAATTATTGGGCCCCAAGATCATTGATAAGACTCAGGTAGACTCACAACGGGTAGATCAAAGCTTTTCCTGGTGCTGCTACATTGTAATGGGTTTCAAAGGCCAATACCTGGAGTCCAGGAAACCACAAGGTTTGAGAGTCAGAAAATACCATGAATCATGAAGCAGCTGTTTCCTGATGCTAATGGACTGGAGGCTTCAGTTGAAGCGAAGTAACAATGTTCTGAACGTCCTGTACCTTCTTCTCAAACTCTTGGCCCTGCTTCACTTCCCTGGGGTAGCCATCGATCAGAAAGCCCTTGGAGGATCCCGCCTTGGCAATCATGGCATCCTTCAACATATCCAACACGGTTTCCTGGCAAACATGGGAAAAACAGAGAGGTCAGAGGAGATCGCTCCACAATCATTGAAAACCGTAGATAAACTGACTGGGGATGGGGGGAGGGGGAGGGTCTGCCCTCACTTTCTTGGTTGAGGAGGGGTGATCTCTGGGTAGTGATCTTGAACCCTGGCTCATTCTCCTCTCCCTAAACCACGTCAATTGTAGCCTTGACCTTCCACCACTCTGCATCCACCCTCCATCCCGCAGTCCCTCCGTCTCGCCCCCTTCAAGACCCACCTCAAGGCCCTCCTCTTACACCCGTTTTCGATCTCCCTGCTTCCCCCACGGCCCTCCCCCACCCCGACCCTCAGCTCGGGTCCGTCCGTAACTCTTTCTGTCCAGTGCCTTCGGATGTCCTCCCGATGTGAAAGGCGCTATACAAATGTGTTGTTGTTGTTGACTGCTGCCTGGCACCAGAGCCAGGGGTTGGGAACCAAGCTGGGCCGGGAAGGGAAAGATGATCAAAATCGCAGTCAAAGGGGTACATTTTGAGATGGAACTTGAAGGGAGTGAAGGAGAGAACGAGTCAGAAGGATTCCGGGTTGGAGTTCTCGAGAGCAGGCGCTAGAAACACCTGAAGCTCGTCTGCCGATGGTGGCGAGGAGAAGGCAGGGGATATGAAGCAGGTCAGTGCTCATCGAGGGGCTGAGTTGTTACTGTTTGAGGAGGTCACAGAAATTGGTTAGGATGAGACTGTAGAGGGATTTAAAGGTGAGAATGAGGATCTTTTGGGGGATGGGGAGCCAGTGAACCAGGGCGAGGAGGGAGATGGCAGGCTTGCGGAGCAAGAGAGGACACCAGCTGCAGAGTTCTGAATGATCTGCAGCTTGTGGAGGGAAGAGTCGGGAAGGCCGACAAGCAGGGAGTTGGAATGGTCGAGCCTGGTTGTGATAAATGACAGCTTATCCCCTTTATTGTGGCTGGTGTCTACCCACTGGGGTGTGGCGGCTGGACACTCGGCTCAGGGGAAGTGGGTTCCAGGGGCCACTTACCAAAGGAACAAGTTCACCCTTCTCCATGATGGCCGAGAGCTTCTTGCCTCTTTCCGAGCCAGAACTGACCGTTTCCCTCAGCAGGTCCCCGGTGGACAGGTGGGTGTAGCCATATTTTGCTACAATCTTCTCACATTGGGTTCCTTTGCCTGATCCGGGGCCACCTATTTGCGTGTGGAAAAAAAATCAAACACAGCAAGAGTTTTCCATTTTTCTACAGACAGCACAATTTTGACAGGTTTCCCTCTTCCCACTACTAGAGAGGACTTGTGTGGTCAGTCTGCATCCAGAACACCAACATTGGCCTTTGTAACTAGTCAAGAGGGTCCTTTCCTAGGAGATGCCACCTGTCCACATTACTGAGGGAGCCTCCAATTAGCCTCAGATCCTGAGTTGGGAGGAGTGGGGGGGGGGGGTTCTGTTACTGATCATTATCCAACTGGTATCCAACCACTATCCACCCTGCTGGTGCGTGTTTACATTGGTGGGGACGGAAGTGGCCAGAGCCCAGGATTTCCCTACAAAACTTTCTGGCAAGCAGAATGGCTCCTGTCACTCATCAGGAAGCTGGCAGGGAATACCTGGTACCTGTCATCCAGTTGGATTGTCAGAATCCAGGCCGAATGCCCTCCTCCTGTTCCTACGTTGCATTATCAAATAAGTCGGTGGAGAGAGAGAGAGAGAAAGTAAAAAGGTTGTGGGATGAAAGTGCAATATGTACCAGCAGGTGGCGAGAGTGACCAATAGAGAAAATAAATAGTGGAATAATAATAAAGTGTAAGATTAATAAATCTTACATTTGATACAGACCCTTTTACTGTAAAACACGCTGGATCAAATGTGATACATCTTCTGTGATTGTGGGCGTGTGTGTGGCAAATGCAGCAGTCCAACCACAAACTGCCACAAAGTGAATGACCGATTTTATTTGGGAGATTGCTGGCCAGGATTCCATGAGAATCTACCTGTTCTCTTTGAGAATTTGGTTGAGATGTCCTCCCGACGTGAAAGGCGCTATACAAATGTAATCTTGCTGTTGTAATGAGAGGAGAGGCTATAATGAGAGGCTGCATAAGATTTCGAAGTGTGGAACAACCTGCCCAGAAAGCTGTAGAGGTAGAACCAATTAGTGAATATTTGAAAGCGACACAAATTTGGGTAGTGGAGGTATTAACAGGTCTGGCATTGTGAATAAAAGATCAAAATTTATAAACCGGTTGGATAATAAGAATACTAATACTAATAGTAATCATTGAATTTGATACAGTGCGATATGTCATTGAGATATTTCAAAGTGCTTCATAGGATATACTGTAAAGTGGATTGACTGCTTTTTGAGTGAAACACGGCAGCACAGCAATGGCCCACAACGAGCCATGGCGTCAGTGAGCAATTTTAGTTTGAGGATTGTCGGCCAGGACATCAGGAGAAACATTCCTTTCTTTTCAAACAGGGATCTTTAACATCCACCTGAATAGGCAGATGGGACCTCGGTTCAACAACAACAACAATAAAATTACATTTGTAAAGCACCTTTCACGTTGGGAGGACGTCCCAAGGTGCTGAACAGACAGGGATCAGGACCAGAGTATAGGGGGCAGGTTTGGGATGAGGGAGGGCAGAGGGGGTAGGAGGGCGGCTGAAGGTACGGTCAAAGAGGAGGGTCTTGAGTCGTGCCTTGAACGAGGCAAAAGGGGGAGCGAGGCGAAGGATTGTCGGATGGAGTTTCCCCCCCACTCCAAGAGAGGCTGAAAGCCCGGCTTTTAACATTTCATGGAGTCCTGTAACTCAGTGGTTAGAGCACTCACCTCTCAGGCGTGTGGGGTGGAGGGGCTGGCACTGTGAGGGGAGGGGTGGCACTGTAGGGGGAGGAGCTGGCACTGTGAGGGGAGGGGCTGGCACTGTGAGGGAAGGGGCTGGCACTGTGAGGGGAGGGGTGGCACTGTGGGGGGAGGGGGTGGCACTGTGGGGGGAGGAGCTGGCACTGAGGGGTGGGGCTGGCACTGTGGGGGCGAGGGGCTGGCACTGTGAGGGGAGGGGTGGCACTGTGGGGCGAGGGGCTGGCACTGTGAGGGGAGGGGCTGGCACTGTGAGGGGAGGGGCTGGCACTGTGAGGGGAGGGGCTGGCACTGTGGGGTGGAGGGGCTGGCACTGTGGGGTGGAGGGGCTGGCACTGTGGGGGTGGAGGGGCTGGCACTGTGGGGTGGAGGGGCTGGCACTGGTGGGGTGGAGGGGCTGGCACTGTGGGGTGGAGGGGCTGGCACTGTGGGGTGGAGGGGCTGGCACTGGTGGGGTGGAGGGGCTGGCACTGTGGGGGGAGGGGCTGGCACTGTGGGGGGAGGGGCTGGCACTGTGAGTGGAGGGGCTGGCACTGTGAGTGGAGGGGCTGGCACTGTGAGTGGAGGGGCTGGCACTGTGGGGTGGAGGGGCTGGCACTGTGGGGTGGAGGGGCTGGCACTGTGGGGTGGAGGGGCTGGCACTGTGGGGGGAGGGGCTGGCACTGTGGGGTGGAGGGGCTGGCACTGTGGGGGGATGGGGTGGCACTGTGAGGGGATGGGGTGGCACTGTGAGGGGAGGGGCTGGCACTGTGGGGGGAGGGGCTGGCACTGTGAGGGGAGGGGCTGGCACTGTGGGGTGGAGGGGCTGGCACGGTGAGGGGAGGGGCTGGCACTGTGGAGGCGAGGGGCTGGCACTGTGAGGGGAGGGGTGGCACTGTGGGGGGAGGGGGTGGTACTGTGGGGGGAGGGGGTGGCACTGTGGGGGGAGGAGCTGGCATTGTGAGGGGAGGGGCTGGCACTGTGGGGGCGAGGGGCTGGCACTGTGAGGGGAGGGGCTGGCACTGTGGGGGCGAGGGGCTGGCACTGTGAGGGGAGGGGCTGGCACTGTGAGGGGAGGGGGTGGCACTGTGGGGGGAGGAGCTGGCATTGTGAGGGGAGGGGCTGGCACTGTGGGGGCGAGGGGCTGGCACTGTGGGGTGGAGGGGCTGGCACTGTGGGGTGGAGGGGCTGGCACTGTGGGGTGGAGGGGCTGGCACTGTGAGGGGAGGGGCTGGCACTGTGGGGGGAGGGGCTGGCACTGTGGGGGCGAGGGGCTGGCACTGTGGGGGGAGGGGCTGGCACTGTGGGGGCGAGGGGCTGGCACTGTGGGGGGAGGGGCTGGCACTGTGGGGGCGAGGGGCTGGCACTGTGGGGGCGAGGGGCTGGCACTGTGGGGGGAGGGGCTAATGTGGGTCTCCGTCACTGAGCACATCAAAGCAACGTTTAGCTGAGACAGATCTGCGTGGATATGGGGACAGAGCGAGGGAGTGGGACTGGTTGAGTAGCTTTTCCAAAGGAGGCACAAATGGCCTCCTCCGGTGCTGTAACATTCTACGGTTCTATAAAACGATGGCGGAATCTGTCGCAGTTGTTGACAATCTTTTCCAAAGGCTTTCGTTTTCGAAAAACAGCACCCCAGCAGTTAACTCGGTAAAAAGAAACCATTTATGACGTGAAACGCTCGCTCGCTCGCTCGCTCACTCACCCACAACGAAGATGATCTTGTAATTTTTCAGGTTCTCTGTGGGAGAAACAGGAGAGAAAATCTCGTCAACCCATGAACTCTGGGGAACTTTTATACACCCATATGCTCCATTGAGAGATTTTGGAAGAAATCAGGTTAATCCCAGCCAGTCAATCCCTAGCCAGACCTCGTCCTGGCCTCAGTGAGCAGGAATGTCGGAGACCAGGAATGCCAGGCTCAAGAATGCCCGCCCCACTGAAGCCCACCTCACCCGTTACCTGAAGTGACGTCGGGTGAGGAGCAGATGGCACCCATCTCTCTTGTGTTTCTCCCTCTTACTGCGCCTGTACCGGGTGGCAGCACATGTCACCCCTCACTGCTCACTTGTCCTTTCCTTTTCATAGGCAGTAACTGTTGGATCACGCGTTTCCATGACGACGGTTGCAAAGCCTTGGCACGGAAGTCTAGACTGTGACTCTCTGGTTTGAATTTCACCATTTGCTTTGATCCTCGTCCACTGGTGGCCTAAACTAAACTAACAGCCGCTGCGGGGAGGAGATGTTGAAGCCAATTATTATCCCCCAAACTCCCTATTTCCTTCTGCGGTTTCAGAAAAAAAAGTTTGAGGCGGAGGAAAGTTTTGATCTTGATACTTCCTGGAGACCTGCTTAACCATTAAGCTCCAGCCCTCAGATTCATCATTCTCAGGAGTCAGGAACTGGTTCACCGAGTGAGCGCTCGACCAGCTGTTAACCCCTGGATGGCTGGATTGGCAACAACACTTTATATTGTCTGTACAACGTTGCTGGTAACACATTAAGAGGCCATTTTAGCCAATCCCATGGTCCAGGTAACAGGTTATGCACACACTGAGCTCCCTATTTTGGACACACACACACTGAGCTCCCCGCTTGTTGGCCTCCCCAACTCATCCCTTCATAGATCACCCAGAACTCTATAGCCTGTGTCCTCTCCCGCACTGGGTTCCGTGACCCTAACACCTCCATCCTCGCCCGACTCCACTGGCTTCCCATCACACAGAGGATACAGTTCAAGATCCTGGTCCTCACCTTCAAAGCCCTCCACGGTTCGCTCCCCACTACTTCTGCGACCTTCTAACCCCCTACCAACCTGCTCACTCCCTCCGCCCAGCGGGTTCCGGCCTGCTTCATGTCCACCGTCTCGCCTGCCACACCATTGGCGGGCGGGCCTTCTGCCGCTAGCCACACCTTCTCCGCCACTAGCCACACCCTCTCCGACACTAGCCACACCCTCGCTGCCTCTAGCCGCACCCTCGCTGCCGCTAGCCACACCCTCGCTGCCGCTAGCCGCACCCCCTCTGCCGCTAGCCACACCCTCGCTGCCGCTAGCCACACCCTCGCTGCTGCTAGTCACAGCCTCTCCGCCGCTAGCCACAACCTCTCCGCCGCTAGCCACAACCTCTCCGCCGCTAGCCACACCCTCTCCACCGCTAGCCACACCCTCTCCACTGCTAGTCACACTCTCTCTGCCGCTAACCACTCTTCCCTCCCACTAGCCAGAATCTCATGAGCCAGATCCTCATTCTCTGGCCCATCTCTTTGAGTGGCTTTTCCAAGGCAGACTACAGTCCAGTAATAATAATCTTTGCATTTGATATAGAGCTTTTCACATCTTCTAGACATCTTAAAGCGCTTCACAGAATAGACTGTAAATTGAATTGACTGTATATTTGTGGGCGAAATGTGGCAGCCAATTGCGCACAGCATTGTCCCACAAACAGTCGTGGATTGAAACAACCACTTTATTATTGTTTTGAGGGATTATTATCAGGCGTGTGGAGTTAGGAAACTTGCCCAAGGTTTCACCCTGCCGGGAATCAAACCCAGGTCTCTCATTTGCAAAGCGAGTGCTCTAACCACTGAGCACATTATATAATATATATATATATATATATATATCTTGGAACATCGAGTAACAGAGTTTTATTGATAAATAGATTTGTACTTTTCTCAAATAAAGTAATTGCAAAATAGTCAGCTAGATTCTGCAGGACCTGTAGTGAGTTTGAGTCCATGCTTAGCTTTTAAGTAAAACAAAACACATCTGTTTTTAAACATTCCTTTGGTTTATGCAATGGTTTGGTTCCTGATCCCAGCCTCTGCTCAGGCTGCATCCATGAGTTCATCGCCTCTAGGCTCGACTACGCCAACTCCCTGCTTGGCCTTCCCAAATGTTCCCTTCACAAGCTGCAGATCATTCAGAACTCTGCAGCTTGTGTTCTCTCCGGCACTAGGCTCCATGACCCTGTTACCAGCACCCTCGCCCGTCTGCACTGGCTCCCCTCCTCCACAATTCAAAATCATGGTCCTTGTGTTCCAAGCCCTCCTTTCCCATTCCTCCTTCCTACCTCTATGACCTGCTAACACCATATTGATTTGTCTGTTCCCTCCACTCAGGAGGTTCTGGCCTGCTCCACCACCCCCGCCCTGCCCGCCCCACCATCGGCAGTCAGGCCTTCAGCCTCCCTGCTCCCAACCTTTAGAACTCCATCCCACAGTCCGTTCGCCTCGCTCCCTCCCTTGCCTCCTTCAAAATACATCTCAAGACTCTCCTCTTGGACCGCACCTTCGGTCAGCCTCCTACCCCCACCCTCCCTGCCCTCAACTCCCAGCTCGGGTCCAAATCCCTGACTGTCATGTGCCTTGGGATGTCCTCCCGACTTGAAAGGTGCTGTGTAAATGTAAATGTAATTTATTGTTGGTGTTGATGTCCGCTGCCAGTCTCTGCCCAGTGAGTGACCCTTTGTCAGAGTGGGTGAGGTTTTCAGTTGCTCAGTTTGTGCTAAATTTGTGATCCTCAGTGGTTGGATCACAGCCTGGAGTGGGGTGTAAGCTATCAGCTATGTATAAGCTGCTGGTAGAGAGGCTGTGAGAACGCTCGCTCTCTCAATTGCTCGCTCGCTCAATCACTCACTCACTCACACTCCCCTCGTTCACTCACTCACTCACTAACACTCCCCCCCCCCACTCGCTCGCTCGCTCACTCACTCACTCGCTTGCTCTACCGCGCTCAAACCTCAGTCAGACAATTAGATTCAGCCCTGTTTAAAGGCAGAGGCAGCTGAATGCTCGGCTGCTTCACAACAATGGGGTCTGAAGCTGTGGGAGGGGGCGGTGGGGGGGGTCACAGGCATCTCATTGCCCTCAGTGTCCCGTGTAAAATGTCACAAATTAATTGATGGGATTCATATCGCTGCTGTGAAAGGCTGCGGTTACCTGTCATGATGATCTCTGCCGCACACAACAGTCCTTCAGCCTGAAACGCAAGAGATTAGAAATTAGTCGGGCATTTTATGAGCCAAGAGATTCGGTAACGAATTGTTGCTGTTGTCCACAAGATGTGAGGGTCTGCCCCGAGCAGTGTGTCCGCCTGCCTGGTACCCCTGCCTCCCTACCCCCTACCTTTCCCCTCTCCCCACCCCCTTCCCTCTCCCTACACCTCTGTCCCCTTCCCTCTCCCTACACCTCTGTCCCCTTCCCTCTCCCTACACCTCTGTCCCCACCCCCCCATTCCCTCTCCCCACCCCCTTCCCTCTCCCTACACCTCTGTTCCCTCTCCCCACCCCCCCTTTCCCTCTCACCACCCCCCTTTCCCTCTCCCCACCCCCCCTTTCCTTCTCCCCAGCCCCTTTCCCTCTCCCCAACCCAGCCTCCTCTCCCTGCGATGAGGCACTGTCTGGCGCGAAAGGGCGCAAGATAAATGCAAATTGTTGTTGTTGTCATTGCTGCTCCCTACCCCAGCCTCTCCTCTCGTCTCCAACTGTGCAGCCACAGCGCCTCAGCCACTGCCCCTATTTATAGAGTGGCCGAGGCCTCAGCGCTGCACAGCTGCTGAGCTTCACTGAGCATGTCTGCAGCTGTAGGCAATGCACTTCGGGGATTGACGTTCTTTTCCTTTCACAGATTTCCACACATCCTTCCCCTCCCCCTTCCCCACACAAACCCTCCCCCGCACCGCCCTCCCTCGTGCAACCACCCTCCTCCCCGCACCCATGCACCCTCGCACCCCTCCCACCACCTCCCACACGCCCGTGCATTTGAAAACTGATCCAAATCTTCTAACAACTAAACCCAGTGGGGGAGAGACGAAACAAACCTGTTGTAGATAAAACATTACAGGTTTCTGGACAGCGCTATTAGTCCATAATCTTTGCATTTGATATAGCGCTTTTCACGTCGGGAGGACGTCCCAAAGCGCTTCACAGAACACACTGTAAAGTGAATTGACTGTATATTTGTGGGCGAACGCGGCAGCCAATTGCGCACAGCAATGTCCCACAAACAGTCGTAGATTGAAAATGACCAATTTATTATTGTTTTGGTTTTGGAGGGATTATTATTAGGCTCTGTGTGGAGTAAGGAAACTTGCCTAAGGTTTCGCCCTGCTTAGCCCACCAAGTGGGCTAAGGAGAGAGACTGATTCTCCCCTCAGTTCCTGGTCTCTCACAGTCAAACTGCGAGCAGAAGACTATGGACTAATAGCGCTGTCCAGAAACCTGTAACGTTTTATCTACAACAGGTTTGTTTCGTCTCTCCCCCACTGGGTTTAGTTGTTAGAAGATTTGGATCAGTTTTCAGTCACAGCAAAGCTAGGATCAGAGTCAGTCTGTCAGAGAAATCCTCTCTCCTGTTTGGCCCAGAGTCAAAGCCTGGAGCTGTGTGCTGAGGTTGCTGATCAGCGGTGGGTAAGTCTGGCCAGGGAGAATCAGCCACATTTTAACATTGTCTGCTTAAGAGGCTAAGAGATATGAAGCTCCATGAAACAGTATAGAGAACAGGAACAGGAAGCCATTCAGACACTTCCACCAGTTTTTACATCTTTTAATCTAAATGTCCCTTTATTCACCTCGAATAAACTTGACCTGGGTTTAATTCCTGACAGGGTGAAACGTTGGGCAAGTTTCTTTACTCCACATGGCTTTGTTTACCTAGCAGTAAGTAGGAACCCAGTTGCTAGTTGATTGGTAGAAAGCTTTTCGGGGGTAATAATCCCTTAAAAATGTTTAATAAAAATAATGACTTGGTCACTCAATCCACGACCGTTTGTGGGACCTTGCTGTGCGCAATTGGTTGCTGTGTTTTGTCCACAAGTCAATTTACTTTACGGTATATTCTATGAAGTGCTTTGAGATGTTTCGAAGACCTAATCAAGGATTATTATATAATAGGACAGGGAACTTTGCCCGATTAATCTCCTCTCTGGGCCTTCCTCTCAGCCACCAGAAATCAGCAAACTCCTCACATACCAGGGACTAAACATGGGAGTTTCTGATCCATTTTACATTGAGCAATGAGATTAAATAAAACTGAGTCCATTGAAGGGAGCTTCGAATCAGGAATTCTCTCCTTTAACCAGTCTGGTTCCATGGGGAAGCTGGTGAAATGTCTTGTGAGAACCAGCTCTTGCAATCTCTGGAGAAAGTGGGGGAGCTTTTTGTGAAGGGCTCTGTCCACTCGATCTCTCCCCAGCTGTCGGCTGAGCCTACACTTTAAAGAGCAGATTGACTGAAATGTGCACATGGTTCAGAGTGAGGGAGAAATCACTGGTAACTTTATCCAGGGTCTCGCTGTAAAACGCAGCTTTGGAATTCCAGCGGAGTCATAGGAGCTATAATAATAATAATTCTTTCATTTGATACAGCGCCTTCAAGACGTCTCAAAGCACTTCACAGAATATACTGTCAAGTGAATTAGACTGTATATTTTGTGGGCGGAACGCAGCAGCTAATTGTGCACAGCAGTGTCCCACAAACAGTTGTGGATTTTTTTTAAGCAATTATTACCCCCGGAAAAGCGATCCGCCAATTGACTAACAACCGGGTTCCTACTTACTGCTAGGTAAACAGAGGCCTGTGGAGTAAGGAAACTTGCCCAATGTTTCACCCTGCTGGGAATTGAATCCAGGTCTTCTCACTTGTGAGGCGAGTGCTTTAACCACTGTAGGAATTCAGGACTGCCACGGTTTACTTAATGAGAGTTTAAACACACGAGATCATCAAAGTTTCGTAAGATTTATTCAAGCACACAAAATTACATTCCTTACATTAACATTCATATTATGTTATCATATTAGCATGAAGCTTTAGCAAACACAGCAACTAAAACCATATTACCTGCAAAGCTAGCCAGGGATTGCTTCTGGTTGGAGAAAGGCTTTCCTTCTGCACAGTCGTTGCTGTCCTTCATCTAAGCCCTCTTCTGCTTAACTTTCTCTCTCTCTGGGTCTTTTAACCCCAATCTGAAGTGCTAATTCTGCACTCTTTGTTCCCGTTCCCAATTAGAAGTAGTCTTCTAATCACCAAGGGATGAACAGTACTACCTTGACCTCCAGATGTGTGAGATCATCCTTCCTGTGGACCCTCTCCCATTTCGCAAGGCTCTGCTCTTATCTCTTTCTTCTATCGTTAGGTCCACAATGTGTTACTTCCCCTGGATTCTCCTTGCCTTCCGGTCAAGTTTCGCTGTGTTACTTCCCTTAATCTTAACCCTGCTTTCACTGCTCTGCTACTTCCTTCTTATCACAAGTATTTTAAGAGGCCTTTCTTTGCTCAGGGCGATCATTTGGTTCTTGGTTCTTAGCTTTGTCTGGTACTATCTTCCTGTCGTTCCTGGCTGTAAGCTACGTGCCTCACACACACAATCCTCTATTTATTACAGGTCCCACCTTGAGAGTGAGAAAATAAGATTTCGATTTCTCATTTATCTATGATTTATTAAGCTAGTTAACTGTAAATGGTCAAATGAGACATTGTTTTTATCTTTCTTTTGTTCTTGGCAACCTTTATGTACCAATGTTACCAATGTCTTTGAGAGTCCATAGAATCCGTTTTATTTCGGCAAAACAAGTCCATGAGTCTTTGCAATTTTGTTTGGTCAACTTAAGACAAACCAGAATTTTGGGTGTGCAAACTGTCCAGTCCCCACCTCGAGTGGATCAAACTGACAGCACCGGCCCATTATCACCATCAGAAACTTCACGGTTCCCTTTTTATCTCAGCTACCACATCAATCCTTTCAACCAATATTGGCATCTGTAATTACAGCACATCAATATCACAGTGTAAAGTGAATTGACTGAATATACATGTGGGTGAAAAACGACAGCCAATTGCGCACTGCAGTGTCCCACAAACAGTCGTGGATTGAGTGATGTCAGAAATTTAATAAATCCTCTCCCTGTTCTGTCTGGAGGCATATTGGTGGAACACTAGAATCTATATGTTGCTCAATCAGTTGTCTCATTGCTTTTAACTCTTTCTGTAACCTTTCAAATTCAGAAGCAATCATTTGTCCCAACCGTTCTTCCAAATTTGACTCTTTTGTAGATTTAATTTGTCCTGTTTTGTCTTTTGAACCTTATAGTGAATCCTCGTTCTTCTGCACTTTTTCATTTTTTCCCTATACCAGTTCTGCTACTTTATACTGTTACTGCTACCACTGAAACCCTCATACGTGCTTTCATTACATCGAGGCTTGACTATGCAAACTCATTGCTTGTCGGCCTACCCAACTCCTCCCTCCATTGGCTGCAAATCATCCAGAACTCTGCAGCCCGTGTCCTCTCCCGCACTGGGCTCCGTGATCCTATCACTCCCATCTTTGCCCGATTCCACTGGTTTCCCATTACACAGAGGATACAGTTCAATATCCTGGTCCTCACCTTCAAAGCCCTCCATGGCCTTGCTCCCACCTACCTCTTTGACCTCCTAACCCCCTACCATCCTGCTCGCTCCCTCCGCTCAGCGGGCTCCTGCCTGCTTCACGTCCACCGCCTCGCTTGCCCCACTATTGGCGGGTGGGCCTTCTGCTACTCTACCCCCACCCTCTGGAACTCCATCCCACAGTCCCTCCGTCTCACCCCCTCCCTTGCCTCCTTCAAGATCCATCTCAAAACCCTCCTCTTTGACCGTGTTTTCGATCTCCCTGCTTCCCCCCCCCTGCCCTCCATCCTCCCTGATCCCGACCCCCAGCTCGGGACCGAAACTCTGTCTATCCAGCACCTTGGGACGTCCTCCCAATGTGAAAGGCGCTTTACAAATGTAATTTTGTTATTGCTTTTGTTATGTCCTTTTAATTTTTTGTCTGCATCTCCCTATCTGGCTTCCCATTTTGTGGGTGATGTGATCCTTTGAGCATTCAAGACAGCCTCCAATCTCTCCTTTTTCTGTCGCAACCAGCACATTTTATCATTGGTTCCCAAGTTGCTGTTATTTGGAGCTTGTCTAGAGGGTAGACCCTCTCTCTCTCGTCTCCATGACCTACATTGCCATTTATGGTGCCCTGGTTTATTGCAATTATAATAATTACCCCAACTCCTGCTGGAGGCTGTAAAATTTATTTGTCCTTGTCCCCTGTTTAATGGGGCCTCAGGTCATTCCATAGCCACAAATGGTCTGTTGATTTCTGCATGTGCTGTGGCATAGTTAGTTCCAAGATTTTCTCTCTTTTACATTTAAGTTGTTCCTCCAACTGCAGTACCTTTTTTGGATACTGTATGTGATGCCCGTTCAGACTGTCTAGATTCCCTGGCCATAGCTGTCTGTGTTTTTACAGGAGCTTTTAAATCTCCATTCTCCCTTGTCAAGCTCTGTAGCGCTGTTCAAGCTTCATCTGCTCTACTTCTAAATGGTTGTCTTTCTCCTTAATGTAGATGCATCAAACTGGTAATACTCAGTGTGGTAATACTCATTTGCTCGCTGGAATTACCCTGCATCATTTCTCTTTCCTTGCCTTTCAGCTTTTCCCAAACTTTTTGTAACTTAGA